AATTACGATATATTCAAGATAGTTTCTATATGTGGATTTTTGTTAGGTTTCGCGCCTTCCGGACATATACCAGCGCTTGGGTCTCGAGTACCGCGAAAAGGTTTTACCAGCGATCGGGAACGAGGTATTGAAAGCAGTGGTAGCTCAGTTCAACGCGGACCAGCTCTTAGTAGATCGTCCACTGGTCTCGGCTCTTGTGCGCGAGACACTAATCCAACGAGCTAGAGATTTCAACATTATTCTCGATGATGTGTCGATCACGCACCTCGAATACGGTCCAGAGTTCTCGCGTGCCGTGGAGCGGAAGCAAGTGGCGCAACAAGAAGCTGAGCGGTCAAAGTTCATAGTTGCAAAGGCTGATCAGGAGAGACGAGCGGCTGTGATCAGAGCCGAAGGAGAGAGCGAATCGGCTCGGGTTATATCGAAAGCGACTGCAGAGGCTGGGATGGGTTTGATCGAGCTTAGAAAGATCGAAGCGGCTAGGGAGATTGCGGTTACACTCTCTAAGTCTCCCAACGTTGTCTATTTGCCTGGTAGTGTTGGGAATCTGTTGTTTTCAATGAATGGTCCGAGCAAGTAACTTGTTTTTGATGAATGTTGCTTTAGTTATTTGCAAAAGATATGGTGTTTAATTCTAGATTTGGATTTGGTTTCCTTTTTGGTGTTTTCAATTTTTTTTTATATATAATAAACGAAAATAAAATTCAATATTAATAGAAACTCGGTTTTATGTAATATAGGTTTTTGTAATTTTTGGATAGCTTTTTCATCCCAATTCGAATTCAGTCATGGAAAAAATAATGAAAGTCAGGGATTGAATTATCCTCTCGTGAATTATCGAAACGACGCCCACTAAAATGAATTATCTATTTATCATATTGTCCTCAGCGACCGATTCAAATTTGATTAACGACCATTAGTGTCAATTTAACATTATAGGTTCGACCAATGTCTCATACATTTCTATGTAGATTCTTTGATTTTTAAGTTCACCATGAGCGACCAAAGTATTTGAATATTTCAAGAGTTTTTTTTTCTTCTTTATATCATTTTTTCTATCTTTTATTACTTTGATTTGAACATTGAATAAAACTATATCAAACATTACAACTCAAGGTAGGCTGGTCAAACAATTATGGGCTGAATAATTCAAGGTAGCATTATTCCTTGTTACATTTCCAAATTTAAGTTGAACTTTTGGTGACCAAAAAATACATTTCAACTTAAAAATCTAAATGAATGTTTCTCTTACAAAAATAACCAAGATCGGTTGATCAATTATGGATCATCTAATTAAACAAATTATTTTTAATGCTGTCTTTATGCCATAACTCTATGATTAAAAAACATAATGAAGGCTCAATCCAAAATCTCTATGATTAATAGTTTTGGAATCTCATTCCATAGTCCCAATTTTATAAAAATCAGTGAAGAACCAAAAGCACTTGTATGCCTCTAGAACATACGGATTTACGGTAAGCGCGTCTCAGAGAATTAATTTCTCTTCTCTCATAGCAATAAGCCATATGACACTTTGTCCACAATTCTCTCTCTCTCCTCTTCTTCGTCGTCATCATTTCATTCTCTGTAAATTACTCGAATTTATATAGAAATCGAAACTGGGTTTGATCAAATTTTGACTCTTTACACCGAATTCGTCAAAGAAAATTCGATCTCAATCTCTGGGTATCTTCAGACTCGGGTCAATTTCAAGTTGTGAAACCCTAGCGAGACCTCCATAGATGTGA